AAAGCATGGGAATGGGAATCAGAGAGATAGCTCTCATAAAACCCCAATTTCTAGGTGAGTCCCCCCGCCCACTTCAGCCTTAAAATGTGGTATTTCAACAGACAGGTTGTATGTAGAGGTTCAGCTTGATAAATGTTGTGTTTTACTGGAGAAGTGAGACACTGGAAGCTACTTTGCTATGTTTGGTGATGGCGCATTAGGTAATACCACTGTAGATTACTGGCTGGAGAAGTAATTTTCTCCTCATCATCTTTACCAGTGGGAATTCAGAAGGAATGTTTGCTTCTAGATGGAGATTTTTCATTTTGTAAAATAGAAAATGGAATAAGCATTGAAGAGCCATTCAGATTATAGTTTCGTGTTAATCTGTCATTTATTTGGCTGAAGGATTAATGGGCATCTAAAGTACTGGGAAGTCGCTTGGCAGGACCTGCTGAAATGCAGGGAAGCTGCTCAGCAGACCTTCTGTGGCCCTGCCCAGTTCTCATTGATTTTTGTTAAGGCGTGGAGATATTGTACATTACATGATTGACTTATTATTTATTATTTAACTTGTGTTCTACTCTTCCTCCCAAAGGCGCCTGTCTTTGGAATCATTCCCTCCGACCTTTCAATTGATATGTAGTAGCAAATTATAGAATCAAAGAATTGTAGGATTTGAAGGGATCCCAATGTCATCTAGCCCAGCCCTCTGCGATGCAGGAATCTCAACTAAATCATACATGGCAGATGGCCATCCAACCTCTGCTCAAAAACCTTTAGTGAAGGAGAGTCTGCCACCTTCTGAGATGGTCTGTTCCGCTATTGAACAGTTCTTACTGTTAGACAATTCTTCCTGATGTTTAGCTGAAATCTCCTTTCTTGTAAGTTGAAGCCATTGGTTCGAGTCCTCCCCTGCAGAGCAGGAGAAAACTACCGTAGCTTGCTCCATTTTCCATGGGGCATCCCTTGAAATATTTGAAGATGGCTATCCTATCTGCTCTCAGTCTCCTCTTTTCCAGGATTGTTGCCTCCAGGAACCCTACCCCTCACATTTTGCACCTTCCTTATTTCCCAGTTCAAGCTCTGGGTTGAAGGCTTCCTTCAAGTTGGTAGCCCTTTCCTTGGGTCCCTGACAACTGCAGTGATTTCCAGCTTCCATCTCTTTCTGCAGCACTCAGGCTCATTAAATATTGAGGTCGGCATTCAGGAACATTATTCGTTCATCAATATTGCATTGTGACCTAAACTGCATTGTTCAAAACATTTTAGGATGTTACACAAGTCTGTCAAACGACATTAACAAACCTGCCCACGTTGAAAGTAAGCACAAAGTGACAAATGGCCTTGCACCGTAAATGTGTCCCGCGCTGTGCGTCTGGCTTGGTGCAAATGCTCTTAGGCTGGAGCTGTTGCACACACACCGCCGTGTTCTGTGACAAGACCTTTTAAAAGTTGAAGCCAACCAGATGGGATGGGTATTTTGATTCACCAAAACATCTGCTGTACATCATCGCTAAACATAAAGGGATCCTGGTATTCTGTTCAACAGCAAGGAGATTCACACCTTGTTACATAAGGCACAGTAAAGTGCTAATCACTTTCTTGACCCCCGGAGACCACCAGATAGCAAGAGCTGCAACGGTGCAGGTGCACGTTGACCCATTTAAAATTGCAACTCTCGTGGGATGTGTCCTCCCACCAGTAGGGTTCTTTACTTCCCTGTGATATTCCGTGGGCGTTTAATGTGGTAAAACTATTGAAATACTAACCAGGTTTGAGTAGAGACTAAAAAGGTAAAGGTAAAGGTACCCCTGACCATTAGGTCCAGTTGTGAACGACTCTGGGGTTGCGGCGCTCATCTCACTTTACTGGCCGAGGGAGCCGGCGTACAGCTTCCGGGTCATGTGGCCAGCATGACTAAACCGCTTCTGGCGAACCAGAGCAGCGTACAGAAACGCCGTATACCTTCCCGGAGCGGGTTATTTCTCACAAATAACCCAGAGATGCATTTTAAATAAAAGGGCACATTCTACTCATGTAAAAACACGTGGATTCCCGGACCATCCGCGGGCCAGATTTAAAAGGTGTTTGGGTCAGATCTGGCCCCCAGGACTTAGTTTGCCTACCCATGCTCTAGGGGGTAAACTGACTTCCTTGAGATGTGAAAAAATGGGTGTCCAAATGCACATTTGTGTTAATGGTGGATCCAAAGTCTAAAAGGGCTGGAGACTACTGCTTTAAGTCTTAAGCTGCTTACAGTAATAATTGATATTAAATAATGTATTGGGGATATGATCTTGCATTTCTACTTCAGATTTTTTTGTGGAGGTGGGGGGGGGGGGAGCGCCATATATATTCTTCCAGGCAGGATTCATAATATTTTCTGAAGCCCCACTTCCATATTGAACTGACAATAATGATGCTGTAATTAGTCTACGATACCATGCTAAAAGTCATCCCACACAGTATGAACCACGTTAGCTTGAGAAAATGAATAATTTAACTTAGCAAGAGAGGATTCACTCCGCCAGCTATGCCACTTACCCGGACATATTGGTTTTCCAATACTCAATAGCGCAGCCAAAGGTACTGAAAGGCTAAGAAAGTCGGTCGTGCTTCTATGTCTAATTGCTAAAAAAAAGACCAAAAGAGTAACTCCGTCTCCGACAGTCATAAGCACTTGCCAGTAAAGGTATGTGTATCTGAATGTACTGCCTACATTGGTTCCCAATGCCTGCACAGGTGCCCCTATGCTTGTCATAGACTCATAGGATTATAAAGTTGGAAGGGACCGTAAGGAACAAGGAACATCTGGTCCAACCCCCTGCAATGCAGGAATCTCAACTATTGCATCTTTGGCAGGTGGCCACCCAACCTCTGCCTAGAAACCTTCAACGAAGGAGAGTTCAGCTTCATCTTAATGTGCTCCTGATGCCCCATGATTCCTAAGAGCCCTTGCAACCTGAAAGAGAACACTTACTGTTGGGGCGACTCCTGCAGATTAAGACACACTACCAACGCAGCCTGAAATAGCTATAAATAGCTACCGTATTTTTTGCTCTATAAGACTCACTTTTCCCCTCCTAAAAAGTAAGGGGAAATGTGTGTGCGTCTTATGGAGCGAATGCAGGCTGTGCAGCTATCCCAGAAGCCAGAACAAGAGGGATTGCTGCTTTCACTGCGCAGCAATCCCTCTCGCTGTTCTGGCTTCTGAGATTCAGAATATTTTTTTTCTTGTTTTCCTCCTCCAAAAACTAGATGCGTCTTGTGGTCTGGTGCGTCTTATAGAGCGAAAAATACGGTACCTAGTCTCTACGTGGGTGGCGCTGTGGTCTAAACCACTGAGCCTCTTGGGCTTGCCGATCGGAAGGTCAGTGGTTCGAATCCCCGCGACAGGGTGAGCTCCTGTTGTTCAGTCCCTGCTCCTGCCCACCTAGCAGTTCAAAAGCACATCAAAATGCAAGTAGATAAATAGGGACCGCTCCAGCAGGAAGGTAAACAGCGTTTCTGTGTGCTGTTCTGGTTCGCCAGAAGCGGCTTAGTCATGCTGGCCACATGACCCGGAAGCTGTCTGCAGACAAACGCCAGTTCCCTTGGCCTATAGAGTGAGATGAGCACGCAACCCCAGAGTCGGCCACGACTGGACCTAACGGTCAGGGGTACCTTTACCTTTAAGTATAGCTGAGTAAAAAAAGTAGGGTATAAAGCAGCCCCTCTGACTCTTCTCCTTTCTCATAGCTTTCTTAGAAAAGACGCACAACAGTTACTATGCAATATGCAGTAAGTCTATAAAATGCCTACAGGTATCCCTCCTACATAGCAGTGTCCGATTTTGCCCATTGATTCCATCTTCATTATTTATTTGCTCAAGAGCAAAGCTGACCGGCTTCCTTTCCTATATGTTCAAAGGCCTTAACGTTTCAACGCCATCCTTGAAGGAGCCACTCTTTTTGCTGGTGCAAAGAACCTTGTGTGCCATGTTTTTGTTGCCCTCCCACAAGAACACATTCAGATTGATTGCAGGACAAGCACAGCCTTTGCCCGCGTAAATCTGGTGCAGATGCCAGGGGTCAAGGTGATGTGCTTTTATCAGCTGATTGCTCTGGGATTCTCATTCTCTTGTCCTTCACTGGAAGTTTATTTATTGGCACTGTGTCCATGACCCTTTGCATGATTGTTTGGTATGGGGGAAACATTTTGTTGAAATCTAGGTGTGGCTCTATATCTAACCAAGTTCCCCCCTGAATTGCTCCATGAATGTCATGATAACAACAAATGCAAGATAATAAGAGCCGTGGTGGATCAGATTAGTGGCTCATGTGTTCCAGGATCCTGCATCCCATACAGTGGTACCTCTGGATGTGAACAGGATCCGTTCTGGAGCCCCGTTCGCATCCAAAGCAGAATGCAACCCGTGTCTGCGCATGCACGGGTCGTGATTCGCCGCTTCTGTGCATGCACGTGACGCCATTTTGAGCATGCGCAAGCTGCAAAACCCGGAAGTAACACGACCCAGAAGTAATGGAACGTGTTGCTTCCGGGTCGCCGCGGAGCGCAACCCGAAAACGCTCAACCCGAAGCTACTTCAACCCGAGGTATGACTGTAGTTGCCAAACTTCCCTTCCAATCTGTAGAACAGCTAGAATGGCAATGAAAATAATCAAGGGGCTAAGTGGCTAATTTATTTTTTTTTTGGAGGGGGGGGCTTTTGAGTGTAGAAAAAGGTGAGTAAGGGAGAGGGGACGTGACAGAGGAGTATGATATTATGCATAGTAGATAAGAGCAGGTTCCCATTCCTTGAATAAAAGAACCAAGGGGCATCCAAAGAAGCTGAATGTTGTGACGATTCAGTACAGACCAGAAAATAAAGGACTTATTCACACAATACATACCGTAGTTAAACTGTGGGACTGGCTTCTACAAGATGCAGTGATCTGCTGTCCAGGGTTTCCCAAATGTGAGTCTCCAGCTGTTTTGGACTACAATTCCCATCATCCCCCTGTCTACTGGTACTGCTAGCTAGGATAGCTCAGTGGGTAGAACATGAGGCACTTAATCTCAGGGTCGTAGGTTCAAGCCCTGTTGTGCTGGTCCCGGGGGGAAGGTTGCTGTTGGCGTAGTCAAAGTCCGGTCCTGGGTTACTAGTCTGGAAACAGTTCACAAAGAGCGAGGCGGGGTCCGAAGCAGGAAGCCGGGTGGGGACGGGAACACTGGAAGGACAGGTCTGGGTCCGGGCAGGAGCAGGTATTCAACGACGTTGTTCCCACAACCTGGGACCGGGCTGACTGGCCTTTATCTTCTCTGAGGCCAGGGGCGGTCCCGGCCCCCAGGAGACCCGCCTCTCACGGCCTTAAGGCGAGCACTCCTGGGAGAAACCAGTTCCCTCCGCCTCTCTGCCCTGAGCCTCTGCAGCTCCGGAGAGGCTGGGGAGTTACTGGACCCAGGGGGAGACTCTCCTTCCTCTGGCAGGGCCGGGAGAGGCGCACCTGTAGGCACTGTGTCCTCAATCACCTCCGGAGCTAGAGTGGATTCACCTAGTGCCTGCTCCTGAGGATCCGGCACAGGTGCAGGCGCTTCAGATCCAAGGCCCCGCCTCAGCTCAGCCAGCCCTGGAGGCGGGGACTCCTGGCCAGGCTGGGGTTCCTCCGGTTCAGCCTCTGAATCGGATTCCCCGGCCATCACACCCGTGCTGGGCAAAAATATTCCTGCATTACAGGGGGTTGAACTAGATGGCCCTTGTAGTCCATTCCAGCATTAGGATTCTGTGATGGTTGAATGCGGTATTTTATGTTTATGATGGCTAGGTCCCATTAATTTATTAAATCAGGTCTGTGTTGAACAAGCTGGATCAGTATGTATGTTGCAAATTTTCAAGCGTGATACTTTCCTGGTACATTTGTTGGTGCACAGCCACCAATAAAATATGTCATTTCCCATCTTTCGTAATTTCCCTTTGATTTGGTGTTTCATATTGAACTGCAGGAGCTGCTCGACTCGATTGCAGTGCAGAGAAAATCATTTTGATACTTTTTTTGTATATTTGAATAGTTCTTGAAATCATTAAACTCAAATGATAGGGCATGGTGTGCATCTGTGTGCTTGCATATAAATTTTAGGTCTCAGGTTTTCTTTTAACATTAAGGTAGTTAGTAGTGTTCATTGTTGGAGATTTAGCTGGTGTGTGTTTTCTTTCTGTTCTGGTGCATACTGAATGCCAATCAAATGTTCTGGGAGAGAAAACTACTATAAGTTGATGCACGCAAGTGTTTGAGATCTTAGGACAGCGCTGACTTGTGTTTGTTTCATTAAGCTCCTTCAAGCCAGGCAATTACATAATGCAAATAAGTCAGGTTGCATTCAAAACGGTCCTGCTTTGCACTGAAACGGTGGTGAATCTAAAATGAGTTTGGGATATTTGTCCATAAACTTTGGTCAATAATACTTGGCTGGCTTCGTTGCAGTGGTGATGTCTGATGTCAGAAAAGGCACAAAAGTTCAAAGTTCACTTGAAATAGTTTTTGTTCTGAGAAAACTCCAAGGGGAAAAAAAAGGCTTCCTTATTATGAAGAACCTGTCATGAAGTCCAGAATGAGTCTTATTTACTAAGATGGCTTTCTCATATCCTTGTCCCCATTTTAACATTAAAAAGCCTGGGCTTTTAACTTCCTATATTGTATGAAGTTGAAAGGCCCATGTCCCCATTTCTTGTCTCCTTTCATTTCATCTGGATAATTGTGCCTTTTATGCCTGTTTATATAATGGTCCTATGCAGACGTAATGTCCAACCATGAGCTGTTTGACTTCAGTGTGATTAGGTGCTTCATCAGAATACCTCAACCAGCCATGGTTGAGGCATGGCTGTCAACCGGGATTGTGTTAGCATCCAAGCATTTTGGAATCCCCTACCTCAGGATAGGGACACGGGTGGTGCTGTGGGTTAAACCACAGAGCCTAGGACTTGCCAGTCAGAAGGTCGGCGGTTCGAATCCCCGCAATGGGTGAGCTTCTGTTGCTCGGTCCCTGCTCCTGCCAACCTAGCAGTTCGAAAGCACGTCAAAGTGCAAGTAGATAAAAAGTACCGCTCCGGTGGGAAGGTAAACGGCATTTCCATGCACTGCTCTGGTTTGCCACATGACCCGGAAGCTGTACGCCGGCTCCCTCGGCCAGTAAAGCGAGATGAGCGCCGCAACCCCAGAGTAGGCCACGACTGGACCTAATGGTCAGGGGTCCCTTTACCTTTACCTTTACCTTACCTCAGGATATTCATTTGGCGCTTTACTGCTGACATTTTGTTCTTGACTAAATACCATTTTCCCGGTAGGTGTCTGGCGTGTCAGATCTTTGTAGTCATTTAGTTCTGACTTTTACCTGCTCCTTCATTATTAGCAGGTGGCAAGGAGGGAGTCGGGAGCAAGTCAAGAATAACTCACAAGGTGTCAGTGAAGTTAATTCTTTATTCAAAGAAACAAAACAGCTCAGGCTCAGTGATCTTGTCCCAGTGCAGTTCTGAGGACTGATTGTCCCCACCTTCCCATCATTCTCTAAGGCTCCTCCCTCGGTTCCTACCCCAGCAACCTGAGGCTCCTTCATCCTCTCTCTCTTCATTCTTCTTTGTGTTCTGGGAGACCAAGAGAAGGGGAGCTGGCCACAGCAGGAAGGGGAGACTCCCTGGCTTCTTCAGCAGCCTTCCTCCACTCTGCCTCTTGGCCCTTTCCTCACCAGCCTCTGCTTCTGCCTCTGATTCTAGACTGCTCTCTGTCACAAACTCTTCTTGCTCACTAAGCCCTGTTGCCTCTTCAGTTTCCAACACCACCGTCTCCCAGTCTGTCCCCTCTTCTCCCTCTGACCATTCATCGTCGTCCCACCACCAATCCCCTGGCTCTGTGCCTTCTTGCCCTGGGGGTTCCCTTGGGGGGTTTCCCAGCTGGTGCCTCCCACCACTCTTCTGCATCCAGCCAGTCCATGACAACAGGCTTATCTCATCTGCTGCTTTGCATTTTTATTTATATTTATTTTATTGATACTTGTTTTCGTATTGGTTTGAATTAGATCTGCATGGCTCGTATTGAGGGAGAAAAGCATGGCTTTAATGAATATGGTTTGCATGAACTGTGGTTAAGCGTTACATGTGATCAAGTGAAATCATGGTCAAGGTGTCTTCCACCTATTCAGCCTCTGCTTTAAAGGTAACAAGCAGCTGCCACTTAGGTCTCCATGTATCTTCTTCCTTGGTGTTCACTCATAGCCGAGTAAGATTGTCTTCCATGAACATGGTCTTAACAGTGAGTCCACAAGTGACTGTGGAGGTCAGTTCTGGATCCACATGTCCTTCGACAGTGAGGACATAGTTTTCCGGGTGGGAGCTGATCATGGTGAGGGTTTGCCAAGCGTGCCTTCCTCTTAGCACGTTTCTCCCTTGTGTCCTGAGTTTGAGCATCTTCAAAGCCCATGACGCCTTTGATAAAGACTGTTCTCCAACTGGAGCGCTCACAGGCAAGGGTTTCCCAATTGTTGGTGTTTATACTACATTTTTTTAGATTTGCTTTGAGACAGTCTTTAAACCTCTTTTGTTGACCACCAGCATTACACTTTCCATTTTTAAGTTTGGAATAGAGTAGTTGCTTTGGAACTTTTCCTTTACCTCTCCATGCCATGGGTTGGATCCAGACCAGCTGTTCCATAAACAGAAGGACTCCTTTTTGTTTTTGGAAGTGAGTTGGACCCAGTGGAAGATTCCCTGTCCATGAACTGGATGCTTCTGCAGTGGGAAGGAAAGGCAGTCTTTGCTGATTCTCCATCCCTCCTGCAGCCCATAATTCCACCTCCCATACTACAGTGGTGCCTCGCAAGACGAAATTAATCCGTTCCGCGAGAGTCTTCGTCTAGCGGTTTTTTCGTCTTGCGAAGCAACCCTATTAGCGGCTTAACGGATTAGCGCTATTAGCGGTTTAGCGGCTATTAAAGGCTTAAAGGCTTAGCGGATTAGCTGCTAAAAGGCTATTAAAGGCTATTAAAGGCTTAGCAGATTAGATAAAGGGGAAAAGCGAAAAAAATCTCAAGACTCGCAAGACATTTTCGTCTTGCGAAGCAAGCCCATAGGGAAATTCGTCCTGCGAAGCAACTCAAAAACGGAAAACCCTTTCGTCTAGCGGGTTTTCCGTCTTGCGAGGCATTCGTCTTGCGGGGCACCACTGTATTCTGGAGGGTTCACCAACCTTCCAGTACAGATTGGAAGGGTGTTTTTTTTGGGGGGGGGGGTTTAAGGTGATGGGGAATTGGCAGAAATTGTTTTCTGTCTTCCATCCATGGGAGTATTAAGTTGGAAGAGTTTCACTATGCTCCACTCTGGATACGATCCCATATATATATATATATATATTTATAAGATATTTATTAGGTTTTTTTAAAACATTACAGCAAAAATGAAAAAGAAAAAAGAAAAACGGAAAATAAAAACAATTAAAAACACACATATTTCCAGTTACTTATTTTCCTTTAACTTGTTTCCGGGACCTCCTCATACCTCCCTTTTTTGTATTCCACTTCAATTTATTGGTTCAGCAAATCCTTACCATTGGATTTTAACCCATTTATAACCCTTTTTTTTCATATTCTCTTAAAGCATTACAGCTAGAAACCACTTAGTTACTATCCAACATCATTCTATCATTCATTAATTTTACAATATTTCTGTAAGTCTTTAAATTTCTTCCAATCTTCTTCCACCGACTCTTCTCCCTGGTCTCGGATTCTGCCAGTCATTTCCGCCAATTCCATATAGTCCATCACCTTCATCTGCCATTCTTCCAAAGTGGGTAGATCTTGTGTCTTCCAATACTTTGCAATGAGTATTCTTGCTGCTGTTGTAGCATACATAAAAAAAGTTCTGTCCTTCTTTGGCACCAATTGGCCGTCAATGCCCAGAAGAAAGGCCTCTGGTTTCTTCAAGAAGGTATATTTAAATACCTTTTTCAGTTCATTATATATCATTTCCCAGAAAGCCTTAATCCTTGGGCACGTCCACCAAAGGTGAAAGAATGTACCTTCAGTTTCTTTACATTTCCAGCATTTATTGTCGGGCAAATGATAGATT